TCTCTTTCTCTGTCTCTCTCTCTCTCCCTCTTATGTAAGTGTTCAGGTTCCCTTTTTTTTGTATGCACTGAGATATAGCGTTATTTATTTTAAGGGATGAAATCTCTTGTCATGTCTGCCAGGAATTCCACACTTTTGTTGCTTCATAGTCATAAAAACAGGAGGGACGGTTGGAAGTTTTCAACGGCTGCAGGACTGATCACCAACTAAACTTAATAAAACAAGATCAAAGGGAGGAGGTGGAACTTTGTTGTATTACGGTTGAACTGTGAAAGTGCACTTAACTCTATTCAGAATGTCTTTGTTTTATTTTTGATTTTTTTTTGTCAACCCTTAGGCTTTTCTTTTTAGTTTTGGCTCGTGCTTCATTGGTCTTCCCTAGTTCGTTCACATTTGCGGCAATGTTTGAAAGGTACAGAGCAGCCTCAGTCTCAGTTTGGCATCCAGGAATCTGTATTTATTGAGAATCTGCATTGTTTGTAATGCCGTCGTGCTGCTCGTTTATGGCCAGTGTTCTGCATTTCGCTTCAGATTCGACTTTTTCTCTCCCTCACACACAACTGACCGGTTTGCTAAAGATCACAGTGGTGCACTCCTGCCGAAAACGAGTAGTGTTATAAAGGAGAGATCTCAACTTCCTATAAAACTCTGTCAGAAGCTTCCTACTAGTGTTTGTTTGTTTTGTTATCTGTCTTGTTTTAATTCAAGATGGCAGACTTTTAGTCCATGAATGCTAATTGACGGTGCCCCATGAAGAAAGCGTTTTAGTTGCGCTTTTTTTTTTCTTTGCTCTGCACAGTATCTGGCCCGATACATTTGGATGAAAATGAGGGGAAATTGGCACAAGTCGTACCACTATCTTGTCGTGCCAAACAGTTATGCTGAGAATCGCCGCTCCGATTTTGTTCAGGCGTAGCTGGTAATCCAGATTAGTGATGCCCTGTTCACTTTTTTTTTTTTTTTTTTGTTTATTTTGTTTTTCCTTATTCCCTCTTGCAGATTAAATGTGACTGTGGTTTGATCCACTGCTGATGGCGCTAACATAAAAGGGGGAAACAGAACTTGATATTGAGAATGACAACATTTGATTGTTTCAAGTTATTCTTAAATAAATTCAAAACTGAAAAACAAACCGTGTGTTGATATGTGGTCAAGAAATCATGTGATGCAGCTTTTGGGGTCTTTTGTGGTGTGACACAATTAAGAAAACTTCTTATAGCGGGAAATGTATGGAGCTAGTAATATGCCAAAACAATCTGAAATGTGTTCAGTTGAATTATTGATGTTTGTAATTTTTTAAATCTGCATTCTTATGCCGTTAAAATGGTTTTGAATTTAAATTTCTTGATTTGAATTTGAATTTCATAACTTGAATATTGAACATCTGAAATTTAAGATGACTGAATTTTTCAAGGCTGAATTTTCATAGACATATTTTCAAACATCAAATTTTTTTTGTTCTGAATTCATAGACTGCAGATATCCAGTTTGTAAAAATACAGTTTCACATTTTCAAGCAATTCTAAACATCAAATTCAATATCCTAAAATTCAAAACCAGAAATTCAGATTCAGCAGCGGAAAGTAGGTCAGCAGTGATCAACAGGGAAGAGTAGACGATTACCGAAAAGTCAAACTACCTTTTGGCCAATCACAGAGCTGCATAAGTTTTACTGGTGTGAGGCTGTATACATGCTTCAGTGAACCAAATTCATATATTTAATTCATTTACATCTCATTGGTTAATCATTTTTATTCACATTTGTTGGTGTTTTGAAGGATAAAGAGCCGTTTCTGACCTTAACTGTAAACTGTTGGGTTATTTCAGTAAACAAAGGCCTCATGTCACATTTAAAGATTTTCAAACTGTTCCAGCATTTAACAACTGTGATAAATGACACAGTTGCATGCACACACTTCATCAAATTATAGAAGATGCTATTTGTTACCTATTTTATAGTACAGCATAAGTATTTTAAGGAAAATGTAATGATATGTTTGCCAAAAGCCCATTATTCACGCTGAAATGCTGCGTCTTTTAAATATCATCTATTCACATCTGAGATGTCATATTTAACCTTACCTTTAGATTTATTTCAATCGTTAGATTTTTCAATATATTTAGGGATATTACATAAGTTTTTTCTTAAATACAATAAAACCCAAAATGTCCAGTAGGTGGCGCCAAATCTCTCTCTGTCACTGAAGTGTTCATTCATATTTGTTCGAATCGACTGACAAGTAACTCGCTATTAATTACTCGCTCAGAGATTTCTTGTTAACCTCATTTGTTAAGTGCTTAAAACTTTGTTTTAAATAGTAACAACATAAGAGGTGTTTTAAAAGTCTATATTGTTGTGAATAGTGTTTTCAATATAATGTTTGTTTTTTTATATATATATATATATATATATATATATATATATATATATATATATATATTTCCATATATTTCGTATATTTCCAGACCCTTTCAAACCCCCACCCTCGTAATTTACACCCTGTAATTGGAGGTGATGGTTATTCTTAGTTTGACTTTTCGGTGATAGTCTGCTCTTCCCTGTTGATCACTCCTTTAAATTAATAAATTCAAAACAATTGTATCGACATATAAAAATTCAGGTTTATTAAATTACTATTGTCAATAGTTCAAATTAGCGCAATTTAAATTCAGATTGTTTTGGCATATTATTAGCGCTATTGAAATGCTGTTGAACTGTCTGTCCTATCGAACTAAACAGCTAAATGGCTCAATACAGTGTTTTGAAATTGCACTAATCTCAGATTGTAGTCATTTAGAATGGCTGTAATTATATTTGTACTATAATGATGACTTTTATACTATAATGATGTTTGGCATTATACTGTACTAGTGTAGTCAAAGAGAAGAGAAAAATCATTCTCTCATTTTCCTTCGGCTTCGACCCTTTATTAATCAGGGGTCGCCACAGCGGAATGAACCGCCAACTTATCTAGCATATGTTTTACACAGCGGATGCCCTTCCAGCTGCATCCCATCACTGGAAAACACCCTTACACCTGCATTCACACACATAAACTACGGCCAATTTGGTTTATTCAATTCACCTATAGTGCATGTCTGTGGGGGACACTCACGCAAACACTGAGAGAACATGCAAACTCCAAACGAATGCCAACTGACCCAGTTGGGGCTTAAACCAGCGACCTTATTGCTGTGAGGTGACAGTGCAGAAAATCAGTTTAGATAAATGAATACAATAATGGGATCAATATTTGAGAAAGCTTTTCTATACCAGATTATGTCTCCAAGTGTGTACATGTATGTAAAACACACACACACAGACATGGGTTAACATTTCCACACCAAACTTAAATAAAAATGATATTACATATCTAGCATAAATTTACTTTTTATAAAAACTCAACATAAGCCATTTCTTGGTGAATAACCTACAGATACAACTACATTTAAATATTGAAATGTGTGTTTGTGGTGGGGGTTATATTTGATTTTTATGTTTTACTTTACTTCATCATACTTTATCTACTTGTTTGTTTTAACCCATATAGCAATTCATTTGTAGCTTATCAGCTGGTTTACGTAGTTCAAGTAAATTGAATGATTCTAAACATTTGTTAGAGCATTTAATAAATAACACATTTGGGTACTTTCTGAGTGTCTTTTTGAGCAAAATTTTTAACAATATGAATTAAAACATCGTTAAATGAACTACACATACTACAAAATGTTCTCACTTCTGCCAAATTAAGAAAAAAAATCTATCTTTGAGCTGCAAATGTAGCTCTTGATTTTGCCAGTACCATTTTGAACATATATTTTAGAAATGATGCCAATTAAAAGTGTGGGGTCGGTACAATTCAAAATAGTAATAATACAAAAATCTGCATTAAACTGATCAAAGTTATTAGTAAAGACCTTTATATTACAAAAAATACTTTTTCAAATAAATACTCTTTCTACCTTTATATTTGCTCAAAAAACATTTTCATGGCTGACAGAACAACCATCTTCATGATACAAAAGTTTCTTGAGCATCAAATCATCTTATTAGAATAGCTTTATGTGAAGACTGGTGCACTGATACTGGAAATTCAGCATTATTATCACAGGAATACATTAAAATGACAAAAAAATGCAGCCTGGTTAAACATAAGAGACCTTACCAACCCTAATCTTTTAAATAATAGTATTTCCTGAGAGCATAAAAAGAAAATCCAGTGTTTTGTGTCATCTGAACGGTCCAATACTGCATAAACTGAATAAACGCAACGTCAGTGTTACATTTTTAAAGGTATAGTTCACCCAAAAACTAAAAGTTACTCACCCTCAATTGATCCCAAATCTTTATGAGTTTCTTTAAAGAGCCCCTATTTAGGCATGGGACAATAACCGTGTTCAAGGTATACTGCGGTTTGGAAAAGTCAAGGTTTTAAAACTGTTAAATTTTTCCTGAGGTATGAGTACAATTTTTAAAATGAATTTATTTTTTAGCTTTTTAGGACAGTGATATCTCCAGCAGAAAAGATGCTGTTTTAAATTGTAAAAAAAAAAATGTGTTTTTGAAAAAAATGAAGAAAGCAGGTCGATTAACTTTAACTATTTAGCCTGACATGTTTAGCTACTGTACCAAAATAATTTAAATGTTTCCCAAATTAAAATATGTTGTATTCGAAGGGGGAAAAGGTTTTGTTTTACCCAGATTTTTAAAAAGAATATATTTTAGAGCAGTAATAACAATACCATGAAACTGTGATATTTATATCCAAGGTTATCATACCATCAGAATCTTATACCGGCCCATGCCTGCCCCTATTGTGGATTTTGAAAATGAGCTTTCATGCAGTGTGTAACACAGCTCTAAGTAAATGAAAACATCCAGCTGAGGTGTCAATCTGTTTAAATCTATTAATTCTTCTAATTCTAACAAGAGTCGACCCATAGTCGAATAAATGAATCTTGTTGTGTTCGGATGTTTTGCCTGCACCTGATGCTGTCGATATGGTACATCACCAAATATGAAGTGCCGGATCTGGTAAAACGTGAATGTGCCTTTTCCTTTGGTCACTAGCAGAGCACAGGGGATCACGGGACTCTTCTTGACATGATGATGACGATCACTGAGCGATGGATTTTCAGCTGTGGGTTAAACTTTATTTTCACAGCAATACCACGGTATAGCCAACTGTGTGATGTGTTTGTTCCTGTCATTTTCTGATTTTTGATACAATAACCTACACTACAGGGTGGGATTCGCCAGCCGTTTGATTTTAAAGGAAGCAGCAGCAAAGACTATTATCTATGGGACTTTGTCAGTAACTGTTGCAGATCACATGGACCAGTTTCTTCTTCCTTCGGATCACAACATGTAAGTGTAATTAAAATCGATTCCCCGTTTTGTGTAGTTTGCAAAATATGTATTTTGTTGTGTGTTGTAACTTGTGCGTGGCTTGTATTTACTTATCTTTTATACATCAGTGCTTGTATTGTATCTCCCAGGTTAAATCTGTATGGGGCTGTTCACATATTGCATCCAAAACCACTTTGAAAACGTGACACGTGCTTCTTAAGTGATTTAAATCCGTTTCTGAACTTGTAATCCTCTGCTGTTTGTCTTTGCTATAGACACCATCAGCTATTACTCACATGCACAGCGCGGTCAATTTTCTGAATAGTTAAACTTTTGCCACTGTGTGGATTAATACTGAATTTGTGTCGTTATTACTTTAGGTTAGCGTTAGGAGTAGAGTAATATGCTGCTGTTTAACTGCATTGCTTTAATGCATTTCTGCATTGGGCTCTCACATACTCTATGTGCTACTTCACAGCCGTTGTGGGTTGAACGTTCAGCGAATCACAACAGCCTGGGTCATCGGACCATTCAGCGCAGGTTAGCCTCACGCAAAGGAGGGGTTTGGGAACAAATGAATCACTGAACAAATCATATAGTAGTTGTTGGGATAATTAGGTAAAATTAAAAGCATATTATCAGACAATGAAGGTGTTTTTTGACCTATATAGCTAATAGGGGCTCCTTAATCTTTAAACTAAAGAAGATGGAAAACCTGTGATTTCTCAACTTCTATAAGTAGGAAAGAGCAATCCTATGGAAGTCAGTGGTTCAAAGTTTTTAGCTTTCGCCAAAATAAATTATTTTGTGTTCAACGGAAGTAGGAAAGTCAAACAGGTTTGCAACAAGTGAAGGGTAAGTGATGACAGCAATGTGGGTGAACTATCCCTTTAACACAAATATATGGCAATTAATACATCATTGTCATATGTCAAATGTATAAATAGATCTGTATAAACAGTTTCAAAGTAACATTCTATGTGTAGAAATGTACATGTACATACATAGGAAACCCGTTAAACCCCAAAGTCTATGCGGATTACTATTTAGTCTTCTTCTCCTCTTCCTTTTTGTCCTCGATCACCTCAGACAGGTCTTCAGGCCGCAGCGTTTTCACTTTATTCTCCATGTTGGTGATCCTCTGCTTGATCTTGCCCTGGTAGGACGTGTACTCTGCCATCAGCTTGGCGAATTTGCCAGTCATAATGTCAAGGTTTCCCTCGAGGCGGTGAATCTTCTCCTCCAGATCTTTGGGATCAGCTCCTGCAGCCGCCACTGCTTCGTCCAGAAGATTATCCTTCCTTAAAATGGCCTTTCCTTTCTCCTCCAGGGCTTTTTTGGCGTCTGGATACTCAGTAAGCGCTTCCACCAGGTCGTCTTTTGAGAGAGCAAAGAGGTCTGAGTAGCCGACACTACGAATATTCGCAGTTCTTCTGTTTCCAGCTTTACTGCCTTTGATCCCAAGGATGCTGATTTCTCCAAAATAAGCGCCATCGCTGAGAACTACAAACTGTGTGATGCCGTCATCAGCCACAACAGCCAGTTTTCCTTCTTTAATGATGTACATTTCTCGACCGATGTCGCCTTTTTTACATATATAATCTCCAGGACTGAAGACTTGAGGTTGCAGCTTCAACACCAACTCAATCAGAAGTCCGGCTTCGCAATCCTGGAAGATTCGCACCTTCTTCAGGGTGTCCAGATGGACGTTGATGGCAATCTCTGCTTTGAGCTTGTCTGGAAGATTCTTCAATACCTCCTTCTCGTCGCAGGTCTTCTTCTCCGTCCAGAGGTAGTCGAACCATTTGATGACTCGGGCCTCCAGGTCTTTGCTGACCTTACGAAACTGCATGTACTGCTTGATCGAGTCGATCTTGGCTTGGAATTCAGCCCGGGATGCATTCATGTTAGAGATCATGGCGCCGACATTACCGACGATGGTAGCGAAAATCAACACACCGATTAGGAAGTCCATAACCACAAATAGATACTCAATGTCTCTAACTGGAGGTGGCGTTTCTCCGATGGTGGTGAGGGTGAGAGTGGACCAGTACAGGCAATAGATGTATTTTCTGGCCAGGCGTCCATATTCAGGGTGGCTGATGTTGGGATACACCCAGGTGTCGGTCCCAAAGCCGATGGTTTTGGAAATGGCAAAGAAGATGCAAGCATTCCAGTGGATGATGACGAGGATGTAAAGCACGAGGTTGCTGATGCGGAAAATGTTGGGGTAGTTTGTTCGGGTTTCTGTGCGGTCGAAGAACTCAAAGAGACGTGCCATTTTGAAGAGACGGTTAAAGCGAAGTTCAGGGTTATTGAATCCCACTTTTAGCATAAAGAGATCTGTGGGGATCATGGAGATCATGTCGTATTTGAACTGTGGGATTGTCCTGTAATTGTTGATCAGTTTTTTGGAGTCCTTGACAAGGAGACCCTGTTCCAAGAAACCTGTGAGAAAATGTAGAATAATTCATTCAGTTTGATTTATTTAGGTTGAAAAATATTGGATATATACAATACTAATATTAAAAAGTTAAGGGGTGGTGAGGTTTTATGTTGAATGGTACATTTTTTTAAAAATTATGTAAACAATTTTACTATCACTTCCAAGAGTTCACACTTAGTTGATAATCGATAATAAAGCAGGTTTGGCATGCTGTCCTGAGAGAGACCCCTGAGCTCAGAAGATCATTGAGCCCGGTGCTCCCTCCTGTTTCATCAGGAAAAAACAGAGTCTGATCTCAGGTAGGTCTCGGCTTATTCCTTAGTTATTAGGAATTGCCACGGCAGAATGAAGTGCCAACTATACCAGCATATGTTTATGCGGTGAATGCCCAGTACTAAAACACTTATATACTGTGCCAATTTGGTTTAGTCATTTCACTTATACTGCATATCTTTGGACTGTCAGAGGAAACCGGAGCACCTGGGGTAAACCTACATGAGCACAGAGAGAACATGTAAACTCAACAATTAGCCCAACTGGGACTTCAAGGCAAAGATGACTAAGGTAAGAAAATTTGGTTATTTATGTATGTTTGGATTGGCATGATTAGTAAATCATCATAGCTAATGTGGGACCAGCCGTGGTCAATCATAAGCCGATGAACCTCTGGTAATTATTTTATGAATACATTTCTTTTAGAGCATTTAATGTTTACTTGATGAATGGCCACTTGAAAATTCTGCTTCCCAGGATTTGTTAGGTATGTTTTTGATTTGATTATTCCAAACTCACTATAAATAGCCCATCTAGCATTACTCCCTTATCTTCATTTTTTTTTGAAGAATCTCCTGTCCACCAAATCTTCCCCCTTTCTTCCTTTACCAGGGGGAGCTCTCGAGAACAACCTAATCTCGTACTCCTTAACATGCCGAATGAATCAGATTCAATTACATGTGCATTAAAATCCATTGTGTTATAAAAGAAGTGGCTTTTTTCATTGTAATAAGTTAATTATAAAATGTGCAAAATTATAATGCAGTGGTTAACCTAATATGATTATAAATATTATTTTAAAAATTAGGAAATTACCCATGGCAACTTTGTAATTCAGTTTGCTATATTTACCTTTGGCCCACAGCTCTCAATTATGTTTGGTGTTTGGCCCTTCATAAGAAAGACTTAGGTCACCCCTGGTTAACAGAATAACAATTTCTGGTCAAATCAATCCAATTGATTAAATGCAGGGTGTCCGCGGGGTCTTATAATTTTAAAATGTGTTGAATTTCAGAAACAAGATTTTAGCCATATATATGGTTTTAAATTCATCTAAATATCATGTTGTATGTCTTAAATCATTTTAAAAAGGTCTTCATTTTCCTATGTCCATGTAAAGCTACCTCAATCAGGCCAACAACCATCAAATAACCAACAATCCATCTCTAAAACGTTTAACAAAAGTTTGATTTATTACCTCTGGTTACCAATATTGTAAAGTTCTCCTTGTATTTATAGCTACCTGATGAGGACACTGACCTAAACAGACTGTTGTGAATACATTTAGGTTATTATAATTTTTAGAACTTGACTAAGAAATGTTATATTGAAAAAAATATATACATGTAAACAATCAGAGTTTGCTTTGACACTTTTAAAATATCTGTTCAAGAAGTAACTTTAATGGGGCAAGTAAAACAATCCTTAGATATAAGTGTGAAATGGCAGAAACCCTCTCAATGATTAATTGTACATTGAAAAATAAAAATGAAACAAGTGTGTTAGTGTATTTTATACAAACTGAAAATCCGAATGAAAAGCCACCACACCTGTTCTGGACCTGACAAACGTGTCCATGTAGTAGATAACATCTGAAGTGTAGTCCAGGACTATCCAGAGTATTGTGTAAGTGTTCTGAAGCTCGTTGAAACAGGCCCTGAAGAAAAACAGACAATGAAGCAGGTGCTATATCTCTCTCCACACAGCCTGTGAAATACAGTGAGAGAACACACCTCGTCACCAGCATCATCAGGTTGTAAAACACTGGAGCTGCAATGATGGACAGCCATCTGTAATACTTGTCTGAAGCCGGATCCATGATCCACACTTCCTTCCTGAAACACAGACTGCATTATAGCCTGGCCACGTTCACTTCTATACTAAAACACGGCATCCATTTTAGAAATTACTGTTCACTTTCTCTATTCTGACACTACTTTTAAATTGTTTTTTTGTGTCGTACTCACGGTGGAGGAGGAGCATCTTTCTTTTTATCATCTTTTTTATCATCTTTCTTGTCATCCTTCTTTTCGTCCTTTTTTTCATCCTTCTTTTCATCTTTTTTCTCGTCCTTCTTTTCATCCTTTTTCTCATCCTTTTCATCTTTTTTCTCATCCTTTTTCTCATCTTTCTTCTCTTCCTTCTCATCTTTTTTCTCTTCCTTTTTGTCTCCGTCTTTTTTTATCTCTTCCTTTTTGTCCTCTTTTTTGCTGAAGGTAGCATTCAGGTTGTTTTTAGTTGAATTAGCAGCTATTCTGCTGTCTACGGGTCACTACTGGGAACCAGCACTAGTATACTCAGTTTTGCCAACTCATTTTCAATATAAGTTGAAAAAAACTGTTGATTTGTTGCTAAAAGTTGCATATAGTGCATCTAAAATGACATACCACCTACATATGTACAAGATGACTTATAGAAAATGACTGGGAGGTAATGAGCTGACAGTACGTTAGTTTTCATTCAGATTTACTACTTTGTATGACTTCTTATTAAATTTATTGTAACAAATTATAAATAAATGAAAGTCAGACAATGTTAAAGAAGAGATCAGGGTCCCATAATGCATTTTAAAAGAGGAGACTCACACGGAATGGAATTTTATCCCATCAGTGACTATGTTTACATGGACATCAGTAATCAAATTATTATATATGGACTATTCTGTCACAAAACACGGTGAAAAGTCCTGCACGACGGTAATATTCGATTGTGGTGTTTACATGTCTGTACTGCACATACTCCACCTGTCTTAATTCAATTTCTGTTTAGTTCGATTTTGACCTCCATCAGATTAAATGTATTAAAAATCGCTGTTTACATGGTAGACTCTTAATCAGAGTATTGTCTTAATTATATTAAAATGTAAACGTACGTACTGAGTTTATTTATTTACTTATGTAATTGAGTGTGAATATATATTTTTTTCCAGTCAGTAATATTATTCAATAACATTCAAAAGTTCACACAATTAAAAATGATGTTTGCTGTTTGTTCAAATCACTTACCTGAAATGTGCTGAAACAACGCAATTCTAACGTTTTTTTTAAACAACTTAATTGTTTTGTGTTGAATCGACTTAAATTTGTAAAAACTAATAAGCTGACTTAATTTCTTTATGTAGTCCCAACTCAAATCGATTGTGTGGAACCCAAGATTTTCATTTACATGTACAGTTGGAGTCAGAATTATTAGTCCCCCCTGTATATTTATCCCCAATTTATGTTTAACAGAAAGATTCAACGCATTTCTAAACATATTAGTTTTAATAACTCATTTCTAACAACTGATTTCTTTTATCTTTGTCATGATGACAGTAAATTGAGCTATTTTTCAAGATACTAGTATTGAGCTTTTAGAAGGTTAACTTGTTTAGTTGGGCAAGTCATTGTATAATGATGGTTTGTCCTGTAGCCAATTGAAAAAATATATAGCTTAAAGGGGCTATTAATTTTGACCTTAAAATGGTTTTTAAAAATTTAAAATGCTTTTATTGTAGCCGAAATAAAACAAATAAGACTTTCTCCAGAAGAAAAAAAAATATTATTAGAAATACTGTGAAAAATTCCTTGCTCTATTAAACATCCTTTGGGAAATATTTGAAGACAAAAAAATTCACAGAAGGGCTAATCATTTTAACGCTGTATGTAGAATAATATTTTTTTGTCTTTTTTATTATATGCAATACTTACTTTGTTTACCAAACAAGTGTTTCTAATTGTAATCACAGCTTGTAAACCTTAAATAAAAATACAAATTGAAAGAATTATTTATATCACAATTCCACATAAATCAGTGGTAAAAAAAAATAAATGCATATTTCTTTTAAAAATTATGTGCAGAAATCAAATGTCTGGCCTTGAAAATGGGTAACAGTTAGTTAACAGATATTTTTTATAGTATATGAATTAAATCTAAGGATTATCCACTTACACAATGTACAGTATTAATGTAAAGTCACTGAACTGAATGAACACATTGCTTAAAGTAAATTTCTTTCAACGTGATGGATAAGGTCTTGACAGAAAACTAGCACTAAATGATCATTCGTTTTATGTACAACCTAATAAAGTGTATCGTAAATGTAATTTATATGTAACTAACTCCAGGCTGATGTGCTGCTTGGCAGGCAATCGGTTTAGTGATATCTTCTATTTGTGTATTTTAGAGGAAAATATATTCCTCTTTTTTTTGGCACTTTTGACAATTTGCGATAAATTTGTTTAAAATAGAAAAACAAAAATGTACTAGCATGTATCCTGAAAAGTTGCTAAGGCTAGCAAAATGGTAAGGGGATAGATCACTCGCAAATGAAAAAAAAAATTAACCATAAATTACTCACCCTCAAATGGTTTCTTCTGTTGAAGATAAAAAAGATGCTTTGAAAATGAGTAAAAAATAACCACCATGAAAGGAAAAGGTTACTAGACATGGGACGATAAGCGGTTTCAAAGTTTACCGCGGTTTGGAAAAGTCAAGGTTTTAATACCGCTAAAATGTTCTCTTATATCATTCCCAGGATATATGTAAGCTTTTTAATGTATTTTTATGTGCTGTAAAAAATCTGTGTTTTTGAAACTAAATAAGAAAGCAGAAGTCAATGATTTACTTCAGCTATATAGACTGACATGTTTACAGCTCTAAAATATTATAAATGTTTCTTAAAATAAAATAGTGTTTAATGGGGATAAGTTTTTTTTTTTTGTCTGTTTGCTTAACCCAGACATTTTAAAAGAATACATTTTAGTTCACAATACCGTAAATCTGTGGTATTTTTATCCAAGGTTATCATTCCGTCAGAAACTTATACCGGATCATGCCTAAGGGTTACCGGTTTTCAAAATTCTACAAAATATCTTCCTTTGTGGTCAATAGAAGGCAAAAAAGAAACTCAAAAACGTTTGTCTAACGTAACGTGTGAGTAAATGACAGAATTATCATTTTCTGTTGAACTATCCCTTTAAGTTGGCAGCACTGAGTACACTCATGTTAACCAGCAGATGGCAGCATTAACACTACCAATACTCGCCGAACACTACTACTAAGCCTTTGTACTAGACTATAATCTACTGATATTAATTGTATATTTCAGAAACATTACAGTTAAGTGTTTCTATTTCATTTAAAATCCTACTTTCTACTGCCTGCATGTATCTAAACACTGAATAACCTTTCTGTTATTTATAAAACACTATCCCGGGGTTTCTATACCAAGTGGGATTGTTTCTATCGAGTACTTACTCATCTGTGTTGTTGCAGTTGTTCATATTGTAAACTGCCAGAGGCCAGGGATTGGCTTTTCTTGAGGAGCAAAAGGCATTTATTTTGACGTCATTATTGCTCATTACATTCTAAGGGATCTAGGACAATCACTGATTTAGTATCTATGTCTACAGTGTTTCTAATCTACAAGCTACTGTGATACTGTTGTACCTATTGAAAGAAACGTACATACTGTTTTCTGATTTGAACATCTGGCTAAACCCAATCTTTTTATTTATGTGTTCTGATCCTGTATGAATCATCTGCGGAAATATTTCTTCACCTGTGCTGCACGATTCTCAGCAGGATTCTTTCATTTTTCAAGGCCACTTATTAAACCAGTGGTATCTCTGACTCTCTGTGCAAAGAGAAACTGTACAGAAAGTCTTTTTTTTTTCAACTTACTTCCTCTTATGCGGCCTGTCAGGAAGGCCTATAGAGGATCGGGCATTACTCCCTCTGCTAGATATGTCTTTGAGGTCTGGTCCACGAAAGCGCTCTAAGAAGGAGTCAGGACGCTCAACCTCTCTGTGAAGCCTGTGTGTGGCCCAGTTCCTCAGCATTATCACGAACTGAGTGACCCTGCGACACCCAAACATGTCAAACAGAAACATTTCCGAGCATTTTATACAGTATGTAGCTTTCTGAGCGACCCATGTCAAATGCACACTCGTTCAGGCTGTGTGGTGTGGCATCTAAAAGTTTTTAGTGAATTGTTTGAATTATTATTTTGGATAAAAATTACTTTACGTGGTTTTAATCCTTTATGAGATTCTTTTTTCTGTTTAACACAAAAGAAGATACTTTGAAAAATGCTGGTTGCGGACATCTATCAACTTCCAAAGTAGGAAACAAACGGCTATTCAAGTTAATAAGTCCAGACTTTCAGCATTTTTTAAAATGTCTTCTTTTGTGTTCAATGAAAGAAAGAAAGTCAAGTAGGTTTTGAACAAGTAAAGTGTGAGGAAATGATGGCAGAACTTTCATTTTTGGGCGAACTGCCCCTTTAAATTTGATTTTGCTGAGTAGTGTTAGGGTTAGGTGTAGCCAGTAGGTGGTGGGTGTTTCTGTCTTGATGAGTGTTCTGCTCTGGCTTCTATGGGAACATCCATTCATTCATTTATTTATTCATTCATTCTCCTTCAGCTTAGTCCCTTTATTCATCAGGGGTCACCACAGAGGAATGAACTGCCAACTTATCCAGCAAATGTTTTACACAGAGGACGCCCTTCCAGCTGTAACCCAGTACTGGGAAACACCAAGACACTCCCACATTCAAAAAATACACTACGGACAATTTAGCATTCCCAATTCACCTATAGTGCATGTCTTTGCATTGTGAGGGAAACCAGAGCACCTGGAGGAAATCCACATGAACACGGGGAAAACGTGCAAACTCCACACATAAATGCCAACTGACCCAGCTGGAGTTCAAACCAGTGAGCTTCTTGCTGTGTGCTAACATACCATATGTTTGATAAAATTGTGATCCCATTTTCTGTATTTGAGGGCTCTCTTGCTTGTATGATATTACTCAAAAGGATATTTCACCCAAATACGGCACCATTTCTCACCATTATTCTTTTAAACACAAAATAAAATATTTTGAAGAATTTGGCAACTGGAAGCCATTGACATACATAGAAAGATAAAAAAAATGTATGTAACGCCAGTGTCAAACATTCTTTAAAATATCTTTTTTTTTTGCATTTAACAGATATAATACACTTGAACAAGTTTGAAACTAATGGGTGATGAAGAAATTATGACATCATTTCGGGTGAACTACCCCTTTAACTATATCAAATCTCATAAGTATTCCCACAGGGATTATGTGCTCGCAGAAATCGGCAGATTTTTGGCCCATCATTAAGTCTATTCATTTAGTTGTGTGTAAATGTGTGTAAATTTATGTTTATTCAGTTTTTAAATTAATTTCAGTAATACTATTGACTAATATGAAAATGTTCAGGGCAACGCAGTAGCGCAGTAGGTAGTGCTGTCGCCTCACAGGTCACTGGTTCGAGCCTCAGCTGGGTCAGATGGCATTTCTGTGTGCAGTTTGCATGTTCTCCCTGCGTTCGCGTGGGTTTCCTCCGGGTGCTCCGATTTCCCCCACAGTCCAAAAGACATGCTGTACAGGTGAATTTGGTAGGCTAAATTGTCCATAGTGTATGAGTGTGTATAGGTGTTTCCCAGGGATGGGTTGCGGCTGGAAGGGCATCCGCTGCGTAAAAACGTGCTGGATAAGTTGGCGGTTCATTCCACTGTGGCGACCCCGGATTAATAATGGACTGAGCTGGAAAGAAAATGAATGAATAAAAGAAAATGTTCATATGATTTATTTACAATACAGTTTGTAAAGTAATATTTTTTTTTTGGGAGATATATTATATGAGAGACTTGCTTTATTTACCAATTGTGTGGATCTAATTGGATATGCATTGTAAACATTAAATAAAAGGGAAAATGGTATACATATTTACATCATATATTTAGTTTTTATTTACGAAACTCCCAAAATCATTCCACATAAATCTGCAGATTTTTTGAACAAAATTCAGATTTTTTTAACAAAATTCTTTTGTTCAAAATTTTGAACAAATAGCAAAAAATGTCCACAGATACTGTCTGGCCCTAGTCCTAAGTATTAAAAGCAAAACAAATAAAACATACAGGCCACATCTTGAACTGTTTGGTCACTCAAGCACAAAAGCACTTTTGGAGTCTATTGATGTGTTGTGTTTGTTTTCTGCATAGTGACCATCCTGATCTCAAGAGGAAACAGCTATTTTACATATGCAGAATAGTTGAATTCATACAATTAATTTCTTTTTAAAAATGTATGGTGTTTCAAAGGAGGAAAACCGAAACACATCTGTCATTGGGAGATGAGCAAATCTAAAATGTATGACTGAGATGGTACAAATTCATACAAATTAGTCACTAAATCAAAAAGGTATGAATTGCTGTGAGATTGTATTAGAGTGACAATGTCAGCTTGCAGATAATTAAAACAACTATTAAAATAATATAATAGACTACAAACTGTCACCGACTCGGTCCCAGTCATTCCCCTCACTGACCAGCAGAGGTCACCATCTCCGGACTTCTAACCATTACGTCATCCTTCTCACTCAGATCCCAGCACACCTGTTCTCCATCTCACTAATGACCCACGTACCACATATAAGCAGCTCACACACACACTTCATTGCGAAGTCTTGTTTAGCCCCGGCCAGCATTTCTGAGCGTTCTATCCTGCCTGATCTCCCGTTTACCACTTCAGCCCGTTCCTCGACTCTGCTCTGTCTTCTGCCTGCCCTTGACCTAAAGCCTGATTACACGGACTCTGATTCTCGCTGCCTGCCCCTGACTAAAGCCTGTATTACGGACTCTGAACCACGCTGCCTGCCCTTTACTCAAGCCTGGTAATCACTCTGCCTCTGTTATCTGCTAATCATCGTTGAGTTGTATGTTGTATGTTCGCACAACCGTGCGAGGTGTTGATGTTTAAGTGTGACTTAATAAATACTGCAAAATGGATCCCTCCGTGTCAGTCTCCCCGTTACAGAAGACTTCGCCCAACACGGATCCCGCAGCCATCCAGGTTTTGTCTCACGAAGTCACAACACAAGCTCAGGTATTGTCAACCCACCAACAACAACTAACACACCTAACTCAGTTAACAGATGAACTGGTGAAATCCCTCCAAAACCTGCAAGCTGCTGTCACTGCGCAACCCACCGCCAACTACTCTCCAAGTCCACTTGTTGTTGCACAACCCCCGATGACTTCCGGAGTTCGATTGGCTTTTCCTGACAAGTTCTCAGGTAACCCAGCAAAATGTAAAGGCTTTCTATTGCAATGCAAACTGTTTATCGCCCAACAACCCCATCTGTTTAAGGACGAGAACGGGAAAATTGCTTTTGTGTGCTCACTGCTCACTGGGAAAGCGCTAGACTGGGCTACTGCAGTTTGGCCAGACAGTACCCCGATATTTCCCTCGTTTAATGACTTTCTCAAACGTTTCTGCACTGTGTTCGATCATCCGGAGGGTGGTCGTAACGCTGGCGAGGAGCTATTGTGTATCCAACAGGGAGATCGCTCCGCAGCTGAGTTCGCCCTGCAGTTCCGCACCTTGGCAGCGCAAACTGGCTGGGCTGACGATCCGCTTGTCACGCTCTACAGAAGGGCTCTAAAGCCAGAATTGCAGCGAGAGATGGCATGTCGTGACGATGGGAAAACTCTGGATCAACTAATCGAGCTTTCCATAAGGTTAGACACTCTCCTCCGCACTCGCAATCCGCTCTGCTCAATTGCTTCCAGTCCTGTATCCTCTGAAACCTCCGCTGAACCCATGCAATTGGGTAGAACCCGTCTGAACCCAGAAGAGCGAGAACGACGGAGAAAAAATCACCTGTGCATTTACTGCGGACTTCCAGGTCATACGAAGGTTTTATGTCCCAACAAGCCTCTCCCTAGAACCCTCTCGGTGAGTGCAACCACTATGTTCACTACCACTAATAATGTTGTGAATCTACCTGTCACTTTGAGAAACGATGGAGATGAGATTGGGACTATGGCCATGATCGATTCAGGAGCCGCTGGTAACTTTATTGATTACACGTTTGCCACCACTCACTCCATTCCTTTAACCTCCTGTGATTCCTCCATAGCCATCACTGCTGTAGATGGGCGCCCTTTGGGAGAAGGACGTATAAAATTCCAGACCCTGCCAATCTTGCTTCAAACAGGCTCTCTCCATGAAGAAGAAATTTCCCTTCTTGCCATCAACTCCCCTAAACACTCTGTGATTCTTGGGTTACCATGGCTACAACAGCATGACCCTCAAGTCTCTTGGAGAACTGGTGAGATCATAAAATGGAGCAATCAATGCTTTACCCAATGTCTGCATCCTGTTTCCCCTATCCAGATCAACACAATTAACAAGACCGAAGACTCTGAACTCCAGCATGTTCCTGATGCGTATCACAATCTAACTGAAGCATTCAATAAGCAGAAGGCTACTAAGCTCCCTCCTCATCGTGATAATGACTGTGCCATTGAGCTGCTACCCGGCACCACGCCCCCTCGTGGTCGCATCTTCCCTCTCTCACAACCTGAAACTGAGGCTATGAAGAAGTACATCTCTGAGGAGCTAGAGAAAGGATTCATTCGACCATCTACTTCTCCCGCTTCAGCAGGGTTTTTCTTCGTTAAGAAGAAGGATGGCAGCTTACGCCCTTGCATTGATTACCGAGGCTTGAATGAGATCACAGTCAAATACCGCTACCCATTACCATTGGTTCCTGCCGCCCTTGAACAACTCCGATCCGCCCAGTATTTCACTAAGTTGGACCTCCGTAGTGCCTATAACCTCATCCGCATACGACAGGGAGACGAGTGGAAAACCGGGTTCTCTACAATTGACGGCCACTATGAATATCTCGTTATGCCCTTCGGCCTAGCAAACAGTCCTTCCGTGTTCCAGGCATTTGTAAATGAGATATTTAGAGACATGCTCAACAAATGGGTCATAGTATATATTGACGACATCCTGGTCTATTCCAATTCGCTATCTGAACATATCCAGCACGTTCGGGCAGTGCTCAAACGTCTCATTAAAAACCAGCTGTATGCAAAAAGCTCCAAGTGCGAATTCCACCAGACCTGCATCTCATTCCTGGGCTACATTATCAGTCCAGAAGGCGTGGCCATGGACCAGCAAAAGGTTGACTCTGTGACACAATGGCCGCAACCCGAAACCATCAGGCAACTACAACGATTCCTGGGCTTTGCTAACTTCTACAGGCGCTTCATACGGAACTTCAGTTCAGTCGCTGCCCCACTGACCGCCATGGTCAAAGCCAACAATGCTCGCCTTAAATGGAACCCCGACGCTGTCCGAGCATTCACTCAGCTAAAGACTCGCTTCTCCAGTGCACCCATTCTGCGTCATCCTGATCCCGAACAACCCTTTGTCGTCGAAATTGACGCATCGAACACTGGAATTGGAGCCATCCTGTCCCAGCGATCCCTAGTGAATAAGAAGCTCCATCCCTGTGCCTTCTATTCTCGCAAGCTTAACTCCGCTGAACGGAACTACGATGTGGGAAACCGAGAACTCCTCGCCATGAAAGCTGCGCTAGAGGAATGGAGACACTGGCTTGAGGGCGCAAAACACCCTTTCATCGTCATCACTGATCACAAGAACCTAGAATACATCCGGTCTTGTAAACGTCTGAATCCTAGACAGGCAAGATGGGCGCTGTTTTTCACCCGATTTGACTTCCAAGTCACCTATATCCCTGGTTCGAAAAACATCAAAGCAGATGCTCTGTCCCGCCTCTCAGACGATGAGACCTCTGAAATCCCTGACGAGCCCATAATCAAAAGTCCTCTAATTGTCGCTCCCATCCAGTGGGATATAGATCAGGAGATCCTCCAAGCCGCCGAAGATAATCCTTCTCAGCAGCCCTGTCCGGAGAATAAAATCTTTGTTCCCCCGTCGCTTCGAGAAAGACTCATCTCCGAGGTACATGACCACCCCAGTTCCGGTCACCCAGGCAGCACAGCCACTGTGCAAATGATTCAATCCCGCTACTGGTGGTCATCCATACACAAGGATGTAATCAACTTCATTAACAAATGCTCACCTTGTCAGATGTCCAAACACTCCCGTCACCGTCCAGCTGGATTACTCCAACCCCTGGAGGTGCCACATCGCCCCTGGTCACACATCGCTATAGATTTCATCACCGATTTACCCATATCTCAGGGCAAAACCACCATCCTCACCGTAGTGGACCGGTTTTCAAAATCCTGTCGCCTTATCCCCATTTCCAAACTGCCCACAGCCATGGAAACGGCCGAATTACTCTGCGAGTGTGTGTTTCGGTACTATGGTCTCCCCGAAGACATCGTGTCGGATAGAGGTCCCCAGTTTACATCCCGACTCTGGTCAGCATTCTTTAAAAATCTCCAAATCAACGTTAGCCTAACATCCGGCTATCATCCCCAATCCAACGGGCAAACAGAGCGCTTGAACCAAGAAATCGGCAGATTCCTCCGCACGTATTGTCATTCGAACCAGAACGAATGGGCCAAATTTTTGATGTGGGCAGAATATGCTCAGAACTCCCTCAGAAAGGCATCTACAGGATTAACCCCATTTCAATGCGTGCTGGGCTTCCAACCTCCGCTCTTTCCCTGGTCCGGTGAGACCTCTGAACTCCCTGCGGTGGATACCTGGTTTAAAAACTGCGAAGAGGTCTGGAACGCAGCTCATACTCACCTCTCTCACGCCATAAGGCGTTTCAAGGAACAAGCCGATCGACACCGACGTCCTGGTCCCATGTATTCCCCAGGACAATGGGTATGGCTTTCCACCCGCGACTTACGCCTCAAGCTGCCCTGCAAGAAACTCAGTCCCAGGTACGTGGGTCCTTTCCAGATAGAAAGACAAATATCTCCTGTTTCGTTCAGACTGACACTCCCTAATCATTTTCGTATTTCCCCAACTTTCCATGTCTCTCTGCTCAAGCCTGCTGCTGGTCCAGCCGAGACGGATAGGGAGGTGGCAGCCGGTGAACAGGGTCCCCCGCCTCTCATGATCGATGGCGAAGAGGCTTACCAGATCCACGAGATCCTGAGATCCAGACGCCGGGGTGGTCAACTCCAATATCTCGTTGATTGGGAGGGGTACGGTTCGGAGGAAAGATCTCGACACAAGGACATCCTCGACACCACACTACTGGAAGAGTTCCACTCACAACATCCGGAGATGCCGGCCCCTCGCCCCCGTGGAAGACCCCGGCGTCGAGAATTGCCTCACTTCAGGAGCCGTTCGTTGGGGGGGGGGCTCTGTCACCGACTCGGTCCCAGTCATTCCCCTCACTGACCAGCAGAGGTCACCATCTCCGGACTTCTAACCATTACGTCATCCTTCTCACTCAGATCCCAGCACACCTGTTCTCCATCTCACTAATGACCCACGTACCACATATAAGCAGCTCACACACACACTTCATTGCGAAGTCTTGTTTAGCCCCGGCCAGCATTTCTGAGCGTTCTATCCTGCCTGATCTCCCGTTTACCACTTCAGCCCGTTCCTCGACTCTGCTCTGTCTTCTGCCTGCCCTTGACCTAAAGCCTGATTACACGGACTCTGATTCTCGCTGCCTGCCCCTGACTAAAGCCTGTATTACGGACTCTGAACCACGCTGCCTGCCCTTTACTCAAGCCTGGTAATCACTCTGCCTCTGTTATCTGCTAATCATCGTTGAGTTGTATGTTGTATGTTCGCACAACCGTGCGAGGTGTTGATGTTTAAGTGTGACTTAATAAATACTGCAAAATGGATCCCTCCGTGTCAGTCTCCCCGTTACACAAACATTGCACACCTCTGAACTCAATCCTAATTAATCAATGGTCTTAATTAGAAAACATTTACTGATTAAATGCAGGGTGTTCGGGGAGCCTTAAAATGTCTTAAATTTAAAAAAAAAATAGCTCATAGATGGTCTTAAATTCATCAAAACATTGTGTTGTATGTCTTAAATCATTTTAAAAAGGTCTTCATTTTCTTATGTCTATGTAAAGCTACCTCAATCGGGCCAACAGCCATCCAGTCACCAACAATCCAACTTTAAAACTTTTAGTTTGATTTATTACCTACCAATATGGTTTAATTGTAAAGTTATCCTTGTATTCATAGCTACCTGATGAAGACACTGACCTGGACAGACTGTTGTGAACATATTTAGCTTATTATAGTTTTTTAGAACTTGTCAAAGAAAGGTTGTGTTAAAAGAAAGTGTATGTAAACAACTAGAGTTTGCTTATTTTAAAACATTTTAAATATCTGGCCAAGAAGTAATTTATTCGATTTTTTAATGGGGCAAGTAAAAATCCTTATCATTTAGTAAGGTATAAGTCTAACACATTTCAATTTGGCAGTTTGGTTGATGAGTTGTTTGTTTCTCTCTGTTAGATTTGTATGACAAAATCAGATTTGTTTTAATGACTGAACTAATGATTTACAGAATGAGTGTGCATTTGACTTTGGCTAGTGGTAATCAGGGATCACATGGTAAACTACATTCAAGTTTAGGTTTGGGTGCTTTAGATGTTACCTCGCCATTGCCCCAGCACCTGTGAAAGAGCTTCTACTGGAGCCTTCAGTGGAAACAATCCCCTGAATGTCAGAGGAGTTGTCGTCACATAGAGAATGAGGCCTGAAGAAAAAAAAGACAAAGTTGTTGCAAAATTCAAAAATAAAAGGCAATTGAAACTAAGCAGCAAAAAGAACAATACAACAATGCGTTTCACATTCATCTTAACTATTTACCTAAATATTAAAAATCTGAGTGATTACATATCTTTCAGAACTATACAAAAATAATTATTATCTCATTATTTTAATACAGTGCATGCGGAAAGTATTCATATTGCTTCACTTTTTCCACATTTTTTATGTTACAGCCTTATTCCAAAAGGGATTCAATGCATGTATTTCCTCAAAATTCTACACACAATACCCCATAATGACAATGTGAAGAAAGAGTTCTTGAAATTGTTGCAAATTTATTAATAATAAAAAAACCTGAAGAATCACATACATAAGTATTCACAGCCTTTGCTCAATGCTTTGTTGATGCACCTTTGGCAGCAATTACAGCCTCAAATCTTTTTGAATATGATGCCACAAGCTTGGCACACCTGTCTTTGAGAATTTTTGCCCATTCCTCTTAGCAGTGCCTCTCAAGCTCGATCAGGTTGGATGAGAAGCGACAGTGTACAGCCATTTTCAGATCTCTCCAGAGATGTTCAATAGGATTTAGGTCTGGACTCTGTCTGGGCCACTCAAGGACATTCAGCGAGTTGTTTTGAAGCCACTCCAATGATATTTTGGCAGTGTGCTTTGGGTCATTGTCCTGCTGGAAGATGAACCGTCACCCCAGTTCAATTCAATTCAATTCAGCTTTATTTGTATAGCGCTTTTACAATGTAGATTGTGTCAAAGCAGCTTCACATAAATGGTCATAGTAACTGGAACAGTGTGGTTCAGGTTTTAGTGTTTAAGTTCAGTTCAGTTCAGTTTAGCTCAGTTCAGTGTGATTTAATCATTACTGAGAGTTTAAACACTGAAGAGCAAATTCATCGATGCGTAGCTCTACCAATCCTGAACCATGCGAGGCAGTGGCGACAGCGGAGAGGGAAAAAAAACTTCACCTTTTTTTGGCGGTTGGGCACGACCATTTTAATTTCTCCGCTGGCCAAAAGTCTTGTGCAGAGCTTCATTCGCCGTGGTTTAGGCTGGAAGATGGCCTCAGCGAAGACTCGTCTGTCCCTGGAGCGTCGCTGGAATCAGACTCATGTTCTCCACTCCCCACGACCATAAGCGCAGCAGCAGCTCAGGATATGGCCTGGTCCCGGATATGGAATCCTTGGGATCATCACGTCGCTGGTCTTGGATCCAATCAGTGACTCCGCATAATCTGAGGACCTCGGGATGAGTATCCCCAGGTGAAGTCAAGAGTACTCTGAAGCAGGTTTTCGTTCAGGATGTCTCTGTACATTGCTGTATTAATCCTTCCCTCTATCCTGAGTAGTCTTCCAGTTCCTGCTGCTGAAAAACATTTCCACTGCTGGATGCTGCCACCACCATGCTTCACTGTGGGGATGGTATTATCGTGGTGATAAGCGCTGCCTGATTTTCTCCAAACGAAAATAATTTTTAATCTCATCAGACCAGAGAATTTTGTTTCTTATGGTCTGAGAGTCCTTCAGAGGCCTTTTGGCAAATTCCAGGCAGGGAGTGGCTTCGTCTGGCCACTCTACCATACAGGCCTGATTGGTGGATTGCTGCACAGATGGTTGTCCTTCTGTAAGGTTCTCCTCTCTCCACAGAAGAACGCTGGAGCTCAGAGAGAGTGACCATCGGGTTATCCTCCCTGACTAAGGCCCTTCTGCCCCAATCTCTCAGCTTAGATGCCCAGCTCAAGGAAGATTCCTAGTGGTTCCAAACAACTTCCGCTTACAGATGATAGAGGCCACTGTCCTCATTGGAACTTTCAGAGCAGCAGACATTTTCTGAATATATTGCCCAGCCTTGTGCCTCGAGACAATCCTGACAGTACAGACAGTTCCTTTGTCTTCATGCTTGGTTTGTGCTTTGACATGCACTGTCAACCTTGGGATCTTATTTAGACAGGTGTATGCCTTTTCAAATTATGTCCAATCAACTAAATTTACCACAGGTGAACTCTAAGCTGCTGAAACATTTCAAGAGTGATCAGTGGAAACAGAATGTATCTGAAAGTTTAATTCAGAGCGTCACGGCAAAGGCTGTAAATACTTATGTAAATGTGATTTTTCAGGCATTTTATTTTTATTAAATTTGCAACAATTTCAAAAAATCTTTTTTCACATTGTCAGTATGGGGTATTGTGTGTAGAATTTCGAATAAAAAATTTATTTGATCCATTTTGGAAAAAGACTGTAACAAAAAAAATATGGAAAAAGTGAAGCGCTACGAATACTTTCCAGAAGCACTGTATTTCAGCTAAATAGTGTTTATTGTTGAACTTGTCACAATCTAATTCAGATGTGCAGAAAAGCTGTTATTAAAGTCAAAAATATATTTGGCTTAAAAACAAACGTGCCTGAGATGATCCTGTTTCATATTGCCTCAGAAATATTACAGTTTAGCAAACAGTCTTTAGGAAATCAAAAGTGAAGTCAGGACTCAGGATGAAATTAATATTTTCTTCAAATGTATAGTATTGAGGTCATGTTTTCATTCATTCATTTTCCTTCGGCTTAGTCCCTTTATACATCAGGAGTCGCCACAGCAGAACTTAACTTAACCAGCATATGTTTTACGCAGCGGATGCACTTCCAGTTGCAGCCCAACACTGGATAACACGCATACACTTTCACATTCACACACATACACTACGGACAATTTTAGTTTATTCAATTTACCGATAACATGTATCTTTGGACTTGTAGGAGGAACTAGAGCACCAGGGAGAACATGCAAACTCCACACAGAAATGCCAACTGACCCAGTCGAGACTCGAACCAGCGACCTTCATGCTATGAAGCGACAGTGCTAACCACAGTGTCGCCCCTTGATGTCATGTTTGATTTTTAATTTGTTTTTTTTATTATATGTTCACTTTCTCCATCACACATATGCTGGATGGAAGTACTTTATAAGCCAACTGAATTAAAATAATAAGAATAAAGACCTAACCAAAAAGTGTACTGCTTGCATTAGATTATTATCAGGGATAGTTGACATTCAAAAGCACTAATATGTCATTTAAAAAAAAAAAGAATTACTACATACAGTATATTGGCTGAAAAGTGCAAAGATTAAAGGGATAGTTCACCCAAATATTGACAACATTTACTTTCCCTCCACTTGTTCCATACCAGTTCAAGTTTTTTTAACTATAGTAAAGAATAGGAAACCAGTAACCATTGATTTCCATAGTATTAGTTATCTATTTATTCATTTTCTTTTCGGCTTATACCCATTTTTAATCAGGGGTCTCCACAGCGGAATCAACTGCCAACTTATCCAGCATATGTTCTACACAGTGGATGCCCTTCAAGCCACAACTCAGCACTGGGAAACACCCATACAATCTTGCATTCACACAAACACATACACTACCACCAATTTAGCTTATTCAGTTCACCTAGTGCCTGTCTTTGGACTGTGGGGAAAACTGGAGCACCCAGAGGAAACCCACACCAACACGAGGAGAACATGCAAACTCCGCAAAGACGTACCAACTGACCCAGTGGGAGCTCGAACCAGCAAACTTCTTGCTGTGAGGTGACATACCCACTGCGCCACCATGTTGCCCCAGTTGTTCCCACAGCAAATGTTAAAAGTTACCAATTTACAACATTCTTCAAAATATCTTCTTTTGTGTCTAATAGAATAACAACTCAAACTGGTTTGGAACAAGCACTGTAAAAAATAAGTTCCACACAACTGATTCATATTTTCCCAACATAAATCGATTAAGTTAACACTTTTATCAAATTTATGTGAATTGAACATTAAAAAATTAAGTTGTCCCAATGAAATCTCAAGAATTGTGTTGATTCAGCTTATTTTAAATAAGTAGTATGAACAAGCAAAAATATATTTTTGAGTGATTGAAGGGAGAAAAAATGCTGACAGAATTGTCATTTTTTTGGTGGACTTTTCCTTTAAATACAATCGAAAAAGATTACAAAGTTTCACTATACAGTAGTTTGTTCTCATTACTTTTAATTCCTATTTAAATGTGTTACAATCCTCTGTTGATCTGTTTCCAGTGGTTACTAATGATTATATTGTGATATATTTATAATTTTGCTTAGTTGTAATAAAAACAGTTAGAGCCTGTTTGCTTTCATTTATTAACATGCTTGTTGTTTATGAAACCCACAACAATAAACATTGGGGGGTATGCAGAAGTACGCAGAAGGACTTTTACGTTTTTTTAGTAACCTGGGTTAAACGCTTCCGGTGAACTGTATATCGCTACAAAATCAGCGACTTTAAGGTCTGTTTTCATTAAAAATCAATGATCTTCACTACCTGATTGTTATACGATATAAGGTGGGTTTCAGATTGTACAAGAATCCCTGCATTAAATTACATTTTCCCGCTCCATGTCTTTAAAATTTGAAAATATATTGAACCCCATTTTCAATAGAGTTTCTGCGCTCGCCTGCTGATCCTGAGAGGGCGTTCATGTAAACGGCTTTTCATTTTGTTTTACGCTTAAACTACTAAATGAATGCTTCAGTCTATTTAACTGGTTATATTTTAATTACATTACAACATTGATGCTGTATAAGGAACCTTATGACGTTGAAAAAAGTCACATTAACCCTTCACCGGAAGTTTATCAGTATGGGAAGAAACGCAAGCTGTGCATATACCCTATAAGATACTAAAATATTCTGTACCCAGTGTAATTCAAAGGTTATAACAAGTGAAATTTCTATATTTTTTATCAATAAACTACATCTTGGTCATCTTAAATTTCATTGTAACATTAGGATGCAAAAACATAAATGTTGTAAAACTGCACACTATGAGTCTTGATTTGTAATTCTTACCTGCTTGCACCATTTTCAGTGTGGTCCGGTTCATCTTCAGAGGCCCGAACTGATAGCCTGTGTTGTGACGGGTAGGACTGTTCTGTACAAATCTTCGCCATTCTTATTCCTCTCTTTGCCTATTTTAGGCATCCAGCACTTCATAAGACAAAGCAAGACAGCATAACAAAAGACCATGAATTATTAAACATTTAAAGCATGCATTTGATCCTACAAATTATGCTCAAAGGCATAATTCAAGAAGGCTTTCAATGGACAATAATTAAATAATGCATTGCGGACATTAACGTTGTTGCAGATCAACCCAAATATTAGTGGGTTTAAAATCTGAAGAGTTTATGAGAACGTTATTGACTTGATCTTTGCAAACACTGACAGCCTGCCATCTAAACACACCGCCTAAAAATACTTGCTGCTTAAACACTAAATAAGATCAGCAGCCCTTTGCTCTGGTAGATGGCAACCCAGATGTACTTTAAAGCCACTTGATATCAAGGGACTTTCTACATACTGTAGATCTCTAAGAAAGTAGTTCATGTAAATAATTTTGTGATTAAACTGTGTGGTGAACTTATTAAACAAATATAGGTTAAAATCCAAAAGACAAAATGACCAAAAATATTGCAGTTGTACACCAAAATATTAATTTTGGTTTCAGGGTCATCAAACAAAATAATGATGCTTTGCTTTCTCCATCTAATGATGTTTAGTTTTATCGTATAGCTGAGTGAAGATTAGTGTAATTAGTCTAACACCACCAACGCTATTTGTGTAATCTATTCCAAATCCAGAACAATGCTAATGCTGAGGACAGTGAGCAAATTCTCGTCTGCTTGATTTGTAGACTGTAAAAAGCGCAGGGTTCTACACAATTCATTTATGTTTTCTTAGCACAAATCAATTAAGTTAGCAAATTTAAGTGGATTGTACATAAACATTTAACTATTCCTTAAAAAAAACTCTAGAATTGTCTTGTTTCAGCTCATTTTGAATAAGTATTTTGAAAAAGCAGCAAAATATTTTGTTCTGAGTGTAACAAATACAAAAAAAATGCAGGATTCCACACAATTCATTTATGTTGTCCCAACCAAATTGATTACGTTAACTTAATATATATATATATATATATATATATATATATATATATATATATATATTTGAGTGCATAAGATTCCTGTCCCCAATGGTCCCCTTACAAATACATCAACTTTTTGATGAGCTCCCTTCTTTCAATTCTCATACTTTCTTCTCAAATTTAACAGGGACAATTCTTCTTGCTTTAAATGTTTTAGTGTTTTTCAAATTATTTAAATAAAATATTAAATTTATATAGGCGAAATATTCATATACATTTTAGCACAAAAATGTTTTGTCAATCCACCTGAAATTAACAGAAAAAGTGACCATTATAAACATTATAAAATGACTTCATTATATATTCATACACTTCCTAAACTAGCTATATCATCTTGATATAGTCTTTTTTTCATCTAGCCCTCAAAAAACGATTTTAAAAATAAATAAAAGTGCATATTTACAGTAAATGTGCATCTGTGATGCGACTTTAATTTGTGATAAAGCTGGCTTTCTTACAGTGTGGCTAACATTGTAAAATATGACTACATTGTCTGTGATTCTATTCCTCACTCAATAAGTGAAAAACCGAACAGGTTTATGGACACTAAACGGTTTAGTTGGAACGTTACTGCACGTGCGCCAGAAGACAGGGAATCCTGTTAACTTTTACATTTGTCTAATTGCAAGTGCATTAGGCAACATTTTGGTCATCATTGTCAATACAGACAATAAAAGCAACAGTATGAGAGACTTTCGTGGCTGTTTTTTTATATTTAGGCTACAGCACGTATAGGCTAATCAGGTAGGAATCACGTTATCTATTAAACGTACCTGTGAAGCAACAATATCCAGTAGTCCAACAGATTTAGGCAGCAGCTACAGGCTGAATTCCTGTTCAAGTCTCTCTTTGGATGAAGCAGTTGGTGATCCTGCTCAGCGTGATGTAAAATCCCATCTTCACAGAATTAATTCGAGTTTACTTTCATGGTCATCAGTTTACACACTTTTTTGATCCTTTTATTTGATTGGGCTGATTCGTGTCTCATAAATGTCCAGTTTGTTTTAAATTAGACTGCTAAAAGATGCGCTCCGATTCGAGAGTCTTTGGCTCCTTCGATGACTGACAGCTCCGGGCTTTCGATGTGGAGGTAGGCGGAGCGTAGTGCTCGTCTTCTCATTAATATTCATTAGCTGTTATAAACGGCTAATTGTCATTTCTACAACACAATAAATTGGTTGATATTTATAACTTAAATGTTATTGTTTTGTAATTCTACTGACAGATATACTCTTGCCTTTTTTGACTTGAATTTAAAGCATTTTTTCCCTGTAAATAATCCCTAAATCACTGATTTTTATCTAAATGTATCCCTCAACTATGCCTTTTGGATAAACTATCCCTTTGTACGTCTGCACTATGAGAACACAGTTTCTAAGTAGCAAGGCTATGTTTTTGTTCTGATGAGCCAGCACTTTTAGAGATAAGCCATGGACTGAAAATGGTGGCAGGCATTGATGGCACTATACCGATATCACCAGCTCTGGCATCAACATGGTTGTCCCAGCCATCCAGCCTTGCTAATGAGACCTGAGAAATCCTTAAGGCAATCTGCGGAGTTGCATCTTTAATCCCAGATTAGGCCAGAACGCCTATCTGAGCCACCTAATACTCTTTCTTGGCCTCAACCCTTGAAATACTAGTGTTCACCAGTTCAACTGGGCTGACCTTATATCGCACATGTTCGGTACATGATTTGGCCTTTTGTTTTGTTTTCTTACTGAACTGGGTCAAAAGAGGACATTATCTTAGGGCAGCATAAAAACTTACACCTGATCTCAAGAGTTCTGTGTGCTCCTGTGCTTTTGAGCATGTGCAAGACAGATAGAGAGCGAGAGAAGCTGGTTCAAATAATATATAGCATTTGAAAAGTCATAACTTTCAGTGTCATGTCACCTGCCAATAGCATATTATTAACTTCCCTAATAAGGTCTAAGCTGCCCTTTACCATCTGCCATCTGTCACAGATCTCCATAAGATCTGCTTTAAAGGGACAGTTCATCCAAAAAATTGAAAATTTACTTATCTTCAAGAGATTCCAAACCTATTTGTGTATCTTTCTTCTGTTGAACATAAAAGAAGATAACATTTAACCATTGACTTCAGTAGTAGGAAAAACAACTACTATGAAAGGGAATGGTTACAGGTTTCCAGCTGTCTTCTATCTTTTTTGTGTTAAACAGAAGAAAAGGAATTAAAACTAGTTTGGAACAAGTAAAGTGTGGATAAATTATGATAAATTATTCATTTTTGAGTTAACAATCCTTTTAAAGGCATACAACGTTTGAATTCATGCTAAAAGTATGACAAAATGCACCGTTTTAAATCGTTTTGATGATTGAAAGGCATATGATCATCTCACAATATTTACATTATATAGAAGTGTGTTACATACTTGTGTTTCCTATTAGTACAGGTCTGATTAAAAACAATGCCACCGATTTATGGGAAATTTAAATATAGTCCTAACATATGGTATCACGTTTTTTCACGATTATTTTTTAAATAATCATGTATGCTAATTTAGTACGAGATCTTTGGCAGGTAAATGTGACATGGTTGCTGCGCTGTAGATCCTTGTTTTTTCACCATGAGTTATGCAGAAGAGATATTAGTCTTATCTTTAACCTGTTAGGAACATATCCAGCAGGCACAGAACGTCAACATGATGTCAGATTGAGGTTGTACTTCAACGTTGTGGGGAGGTTGCATTTTGTTCGGAAATGAAAATCGGGTTTGTGTCAGAACCCGAAGTCAGGCCGACGTCAATGTCCAACATAAAATCAACCAAACATCAACGCCAATGATGTTACAGCTTGGCGTTGTGTCGACATTAACACAATGACGTCTAGCAGATGTTGGATTTTGGTTATCATACCTGAAAAATAAATGTCAGTATTTGACATCAATATTATGTTGGTTTAAGATGTTGGCTCAACATTGGATTTCCAACACAGCCTAAAATCAACCAATTATTAACGTCATTTGACGTTGTCATTGGACTTCTAAATAATGATGTCCTCAGAAGCTGGCTAGACATTGAATTTTGGTCATCTGACATCACGACCTAAATCTAACCTCATATTAACATCTTATGATGTTGTGTGTCTGCTGGGTAGGAAGGTATAGTCTACCATTTGACTTCTGGCTTATTCTGTTTTTTAAGAGTGTATAAATGTCCTCTGGCAAAACCTTTAATCAGAAATCAAAGAATTTTCAGTCAAATGTTCCTCTCACACTCCACATCTGATTTGCTGCAGCGTGGCACTTCTAAACCGTCATTCTTTCCATCTCAAGAGAAGTTAAGTGTCTTCGGCTCAGCTGCTGCAGGGCGTTTTTCAAGTGATGAGGACGTTGAGTGGCAGAGGAAGCACATCGCTGCTGCAGCCTTTAGAGAAACGCCATGATGTAATGCAATACAACAAATAGCTATTATTAATAAATTCTCTCTAATGTCACACAACTAAGATCACCGTCGCATAGTATGGGCTAACGCAGATCTGCTTTTCACACAGGCTCCATAATTAGCTGGCTAATTGTCTAAGTATGCATAATGCCTCTAAATAGACCATTGGAGTCAGTTCTGGTGGCGCTTAATGCAGCCTCATCTGACAAGCGTATTTGTTGGGTGCAAGTGCTGTGCTACTGCAGCCTCTATTTTCACTCAGATTAAGACACCTATTCAAAACAGTACTGATTAGAAAGTAGTGTGGTTGAACTTTAAATGACTGATTTTATGTGTTGACTGTATTGCAAACCAACTGTTGCCATGTGAATGAATAATACAGACACCAAATAGTCACTAACTTTAAAAAGCAAAATAAAAAGTCATTAATTAAAATCAAAATTCGTTCTGAAATGAACTTAAAAGGATAGCGCATCCAATAACAAAAGCTCTGTCGTCATTCACTCCTGTAATGTGTATCGGGTAACGAATTACAAGTAACGTGAGTTACGTACACTGTAAAATCCGAAAAGTTAAGGTATCAAACCATTTGAACAAACTGATAGCAACAAACCATTTAAGTTCAAAAACTAATCCTAATGAGTGCAGTGAACTTAATCCATTTGAGTAAATGAAGCAATTTGAGCACAGTAAAACCACAATAAATGAAGAGAATTCAAAACAACTGAGTACTGTAAAACCCAATGAGTTACGGCAACTTAAACCATTTGAGGAAACCGATTGCTACAAACTATTTGAGTTAAAAAAAAAAAACTAATCTATATGAGTACTGTGAACTTTATTTAAGCTGAAGTAATGAGGTATAGATAATTAACTCATTGCCTTTAACACTGAGTAAAAAACTTTTCAAATAAGTAGAATTAACTTCTAAATTTTGAGTTATCTACACTCATTTCTTTTGAAAAAGTTTACTGTTGGGTTTTACTGTGTAATAATATTACTTTTCTATGCACCGAGTGATGTAATGCATTACCTTTAAAATTATGTTATAATATTTGAGTTACTTTTTAAAATATGAAATGCGAGTTACTTTTTAGTTTAATTAATTTACTTTAAAAAATAAACTGCTGAATTAAAATGCATTTAGTCACGTTGAATCCTGCATACAATATGAAACTGCAGGAACAGACGGATCGGAAGATGACAGAGTCTTACATTTCTGTGATGGAAATATTCTCTTTATTTTAAACAATTTTGAAAAGGAAAAGAGGATCAAAAAGTATCTGTAAATCTGTAAATACAGCATGAATAGCTCTGGGGTCAGGAACTTCTTAAAAGATAACGTTATCCTACATTTTTTAGTTGTTTTTCAAAGTAAAAGAAGGTTATGGTGTGTTGTTATTTGTGTGTTGTTATTTGCAGAGCTCATCTATTAAAAAAAGAAGAAGAAGAAGAAAAAAAAAAGGCCAGGTCAGGAAACAGTGACACAAAAATAACTCAAAAGAACATAACGCATTACTTACCATAAAAAGTAACTAAGTAACACAACTAGTTACTTTTTTGGGGAATAACTCAAAATTGTAATGTATTACTTTCTAAAGTACTTTCCCCAACACTCTTGTATGACTCTTATATACACTCTTATATTAACCTTTGCATAACTAACATATGCTATATTCTGGAGAAAGATCTATTTTTTCAAAGTGTGAAGAACATTTCAATAATTTATTAACAGCATATTTCACTCGGAAAAATTGTTTGTGGAATCTAAAATGTCCATGCATGTTTAAGGTTCCCCTTGAAAACATTTTTTTAAGCATGAAAAAATAAATGCTGGGAATGCCCACAGAATTTTGTTATTAAGCAAAATTATTCTTTATTATTCTTTAATTCTTTATTATGAATTGATGATGTTACAACTCTCCCAGAGCCTAGCAGTGTTTGTTTGGAATCACGTACCGAAACGTTTGGATCAGTTAAAAGCCTCTTAGCACAAGCAGCCAGAAGGTAAAGGTAATCACTATCTTTAAACACAGCACCCTCCTCTGTCTGCCTCCTCTCTTTCTCTCTCTTGCTCACACATTCACTCAATCATAGCTTTAAGACATCTCTCATTCTATACTGTAACTTTTACACAAGTGTGCTCAAGAATGCAGACTGCTAGAAACAGAATCAATGTTATGTAACCAGCTTCCCTCACCATCATTCTATACACATGACAGCAATACATCCACGTTGCGATCAACAAATTTAAGACCCCATTTGATTTCAACTAGAATTGCAATACATTTGTGTAACTAAAAATGCAGTTTTTCAGTTCAATATTTAAGGGCAAGAGCTATAATCCTATAAGATTGAGCTTGTAATGACATTGAGTTTAATGCATCCTCAATTGAATTTGTAATTTGAAATTTGCACACTTTTACACACAACAGAGGGAATGCTTTCTAAAAATCATTGCACCTGTCGCTCAGTTTAAGTCACTGACCCATTCATCTAATTTTCTGCTTTGTTTTAATTGAACAACTCATAAAATAGAACAAGCGACACAGTGGTTAACACTGTCACTCACAGTAAGAAGGTCGCTGGTCTGGGAAGTTGGCATTTCTGTGTGGAGTTTGCATGTTCTCCTAGCGTTCACGTGGGTTTCTTCTGGGTGCTTTGCTTTTCCCCTAGTCAAAAGACATGCGGTATAGGTGAATTGAATAAACTAAATTGGCTGTACTGTATGTTTACCAGTGCTGGGTTGTAGCTGGAAGGGCATGCGGTGCATGTGTAAAACATATGTTGGCAGTTCATCCCACTGTGGTGACCCCTAATGAATAAAATGACAAATCGAAGGAAAATGAGTGAATAAAATAGATGCTATCAATGCCTTTGTACATTTCAGTGTAATGCAAAACATTAACTGGAACCACAGCGTGGTACAAACACATTAATTAAAGACTGCTGCTGCTCATTCTGTTAATTAGAATCAGAATTAATCAGATACCATAAACACTTCATACGGCAAAGACTGAGTGTAATTATCCTTGCGTGTAGAAGTTATTTAATACTACTGATCAATAGTCAATGTTTAATGTTTGCATCTGCTCTGAAATACAAAATTTTCCT